CAGCAAGCTCCTGCTCTCCACAGCCCCCGCCTCTGCAGGTGCAGGCACACCTGCCTTTTATGTGGGCAGCTCGGATGCCTGCACAGCAGAGTTTGGCACCCTGAGCAAGCCCTCAGCCCTGTTTGAGTATTTCAGATGGACGGTTACATCATGCTCTGGCTCACACTTTAAGGACAGTGTCGGTCAGGCAAAAACCAGGGTCTTGATGTCAGTAAAAATGCTTTTACTCTTTGCTGTTAGGCCCCAAGCTGGACTGATAGGTGTGTGGTGGGGGGAGGGGGGAGGTCGGTTGTTGTGTTTGTACAGAAATACCAGCAGCACATAAAGACACAGTCTTATATTTTCTAGGAGCCTCTAATATTGTGGATGAATTCTGAATGGATGGGATACTTTGAGTTCACTAGGATGGTTCTAGAATTTTTATTTTGACTTCTTGATCTTAGTTGTTATAAACTTAACAATGGTTCCTCAATTCTGTGTCTTTTATTTCTTGATATATTCATTTATTTTATCTGACTATATTTCCTCCTCTTTTCATTGGTTAGTCAGCACACTTTTTTAGAGAAGTAACTCGTAGATTTGTAGTTGAACTATTGAAAAAGATTCAGTTATATATTCATTCTCTAGGTGTCTCCTCCCATTTCATAGGTTTATAAACGCAGGCAGGGTGTTTGCTTGTACCCTTCCATGTGTAGACTGTGAAGGCTCAAGGCCATTCACCGAGAAGTCAGCCACCCTACAGACCCAGTTAGAGGAGACCAGAGGTGGAGGACAGGGCTGAGTGCTGTGGGGTTTGACGTTTGTCGGTTTCCCAATATTCTTTAAGACCATTTCATTTTTCTTCAGCCCAAGTCGTGCACTTTCAAATCCCTTTCTTGCTCCTACTCTATGATTAATTTTTAATTTATTGAATTGCTTCACACATTGAGATCTAAATTTGGTAATTTCGTTGGGCTCTTATTTTGAGTTATTTTTCTACTTAATTTTCCTGCTAACGTGTGATCAAATTTTTATTTGGAAGCATTTTGGATGTCATTCATCTTAGTCATTGCTCAGGACCATTTTTATCTGTAGGTTCAGCTAGTTGCCTCAGACATTAGCTCCTGTTCACCCTTCAGTTCCTTGATTTTTTTTTTCTGTTTGCAAGATGGTCTCTTCAATTTTGTCTCTCTCTTTCTCCCTCTCTTTCCTTCTTTTCTTTCTTTCTTTCTTTCTTTCTTTCTTTCTTTCTTTCTTTCTTTCTTTCTTTCTTTCTCAGGCATCCTCCTAACCTTTTTTTCATTCTGTATATTTCATTTTTTGGTAGCCTATTCTAACATCTTTTCTTTTCCTTTTGTTGAAAATAGATTTTTTTTCTCAGATAATATATAAACTGATTATGGTCCTCCCCCCCCACACACACACACACTCCCAGCTTCCATCCACCTCCCCTCCCATCTGAATCCTCTCCTTTTCTGTCTCTCATTAGAAAACAGACTTCTAAGAGATAATAAGAAAATATAATAAGATAAAACTTCTCCCCTGAAGAACCATGTTGCACTGTGTTAGGGTGACTTTAATTACAATTTCAGCAGTTTTGGTTCTGCTGTAGCCAAACAGAGCAATAGGAACACCCAACAATATGCTGTTTGAAATCAGCGGTCCATCACCCAAGCTTTTCATATTCCCTTGTTTTTAACAATGACTTACATTATATAACCTCTGCTCAGAATTCCTTCGTCTCTCCCATGGAACTGAGTTCATGTACCAGTCACCTGAGTGGGGCCATTTGACTTCCTTTGAACAGTGCGTTTGAGTGGAAGTGACTGTCACCAATATGCCACAGCTCTGAGAGCTAACGTGTGTTTCTGTCAGGGCTGTTTGCTTCTGTTGCTCTCAGTGTGGAGTACTGGGAATCTAGGCCCCTCTCTACCCCGCCTGAAGGATGTAGGGATCAGCAGGCAAGGAGCCCTCTGTAAGCCCCTAGGGCTTGGAGCTTATTCACACAGCATCACAGCTTCGCTCAGGCTAAACAGTCCTTGCTTTTCAAACGCTTTTCTGGTCACATATCATTTATGATGCTTGGAAACAGCAAGTTCTCGAAGTTTCTCCTAACTTGGCCCTTGGATCGTCAGTTGTATAAATCTGATTTGTATATTGCTCAGCGTAAATAAATGCAAATGTTGCAGCATTTCACAGTACTTAAGCTCCTACTTATGTGGGGGGAATGAGAGAAAAATGAGGTTTTCTGCTATCATATTGCTGTTATTTTCAGTTACAGTGTTTTTTTCTTGTTGATTATAGTAATTTTGTTGACTTTAAAATGTATAGTCTTGGGTTTCCAACACTGTTTAGGCAGTTTCTGAAAATGTGCTTCGCTGGAGATAAAATAAATCTTTCTTGGGTCACGGTAAATTCTACACTCTAAGAATAAAGAGTAGGTAGTTTCAAACTCTGAACAGAATTTAAATTCCTTTTGTAATGCATTAAAAATAGAGCAGGTAATCAAATGTTTGATTGATGCCTAGTGAGGATTTGATTTAAAAGTCCTTTGAGTTGATACTGGATACTTGAAATGCTTTTGTTGTGGGGCAGTTTCCACATAATTGAAACATTCCAAACATTCTGAAGAGAAGCTTCCTAAGATTCAGGAAGTAAATAAAACTTACAAGCCTTAGGAAGTTCCTGCAACCTCCAAGATTCACGAGGTCCGTCTTCCTCAAGCTTGTATCAGCAGAAACCTTTCTGGGGAAGACGAAATGCCAGCAGGCATAGGGTGCCAGAGGGATCTAGCTTTCATGAACTGTCAGCCATGGTAGTGAAAGACCCCAGCCTCACACTAAGTTAAACATGGCTAACGCCATTTTGTGAGACACCACTGTTTTATAAAACTCTGAAGGCCAGATGAGAAACTGGAAAATTACTGAGAAATCCTAGCTGTGTCACCCACTTGGGATATCTGTGGTCAGGCTGCCCCAGTCATACTAAAAACAGTTTGTGTTAATCACTCTCATAGATATCTGTGAGACTGTTTCAGCTAAGATAGGGAAAAACAAAATAACAGGTGGCGGGCCACGTCAAGGGGTCATCCTACCCCCCTTGACCACCCAGTTCCTAGAATCTTGGTGCCCCTGCCAAACTTTGACGCAAATTGTGGTCTCGTGTAAACGTACCAATCAGCCCCCTGTAACCATGCCCTCTCGCTTCTGTACCAGTGCTTCTGCCTCTAAAACCCTATAAAAACCCCAGCTTCCCATCTAGGGGGCGCGCAGGGTTCTCCCGAGTGACCTTGCTGCCCCGAGTACTCGTGAATCAAAATAAAAGCCTCTTGCTGTTTGCATCCGAATGGACTCGTTGTTCTTTGGGAGGGGGTCTCTCTGACGGAAGATACCCTCCGGGGATCTTTCAGTAGGATGGGCGTCTCAGTGATGCCATTGCTTTGGGTTGTCCATTGTCCAATATGTAACCCCTCACCCATACTCCTTTAAGTAACCCCAGTAAACTCAGCGGTTAACGAAGTTTAGCTAGTTCAAGTCATTGGTTTCTCATCTGGTTCAAATCGACCAGGAAAAGACACATGACACCTTTTGTTTAAAAGCAGAGATCCCAAATTTATAAATGATAACAGTAACCTCAAAATTGGATCTTGGTATGCATTTAGTTCTTCATCCACTTTTTTTTTTTTTTTTGGCAGCTGTTTAGTTGGAGAGAGAGAAAGGAGAAAGGGAAAGAAAAAGGAGGAAACAGGAGCAAGTAGGGAGGGAAGAATGGAGAGTGTATATCAGAGACTTAGCAGAGGCCCTGAAACTTGGATTGAATTTACTTCTGAGTGGATAATGGTTTAATAAGTTGGGCATTCCAGCCCCATCCCCTGGGGGCACTTGAACACATTACAAAGCTGCCATAGTTTTGGCTCAAGTATCAGCATCTACTTGTAAAACATCATGGACCAGAAAACAATACACTTTGAGTCAAGGATCTTAATAGTGTTCCTGCTTGCGGGCACCAAGGATCCGATCAGCTTCAGAATCCCTGCTCACCTTTATCAGCTCAACTTCTTTGAGCAGATTCAGTGATCCTAGTGTCGGGTGCTAGCTTATTTAACTGCCTTTATCCAGTCGGAGATGAAACATTACTGCCTTTGGCTCTTTGAATGTATGGTTTATGAAGGCTTTAGGATCTAGTCTCACAGCTTGGATGCTAAACAGTTTTTTTTTTTTTTTAAGATTTTTTAAAAATTTATTTTTATGTATATGGATGGATGTTTTACCGGCACGTGTCTCTGTGTATCTTTGCATACCTGAAGCAGCCCTTGCAGGTCAGAAGAGAGACCTGGATCCCCTGAAACCGGAGCTATAGGATGTAAGCCACCATGTGGGTGCTGGAAATGTACGTGGGGTCCCTGGGAGAACAGCTCGAGCTTTTAACTGCTGAGGCATTGCTCTAAATAGCTCAACTAAGCAGTTTTTATCTTTACTGTAGTGGCAGGAATTTTTAAATTCCAGGAAAGGATTACAAGTCCCAGTCATTAGAATATCCAGGTTTAAAAGTTAGTAAAAATTCTCCTAATTATTGGGATTGTTCTTCTTAAATTAATAACTAATTTTTGGTGTTCAGATTGAACCCAGAACCTTGACAAGTGCCTGACCAATGAGCTGCTGTCTTAATTATTGTCTGTAACCAGGTGATCATTAAAATCCTAATGGATGTATTCAAGTTCACACAACTTGTTAGCATAATATTAGAAATTCCAAAAATATCACTATAGGCTTCTGTAAAACTTCCGTATACACACAGAAACTTTCAGAATCCATATGTGAATCGTTCTATAGTTTTGTATCCTCATCGTAACTTATGTCTCCAACCTAGAGGTCTCTGAGCCCCAAGCCTTCACCTCTAACTTTGTGTTCCTCCCTGTGTTGATGCAAATTAATTTCCCTCTAAATATAATGATTTCTGTTTCTTTTTTAAATCACATGAGACTTTCTGGTTTATTTGTTTGTTTGTTTGTTTGTTTTTAGGTGGTTTGGACAAGTCGTCAGTCGTGGCCTGTGCTTTCCTAGTCCAGTCTGGTTCGTGTGAGATGGACTAAAGCCGAAAGCCATCTGGTTCTTTGTCTGGGAATTGGAGAGAGGATTGGGATGGTCTCTCGTGCCCATCCCTAGGCTAACTGCAGTGATGAGTTCAGACGAGAAGGGCATATCCCCTGCTCATAAAACATCCACTCCGACCCACAGAAGTGCCTCCTCTTCAACGTCCTCTCAGAGGGAAAGCAGGCAGGTAGGAGATTTTCAATGCTTTTTTTTTTTTTTAATCATTTTCTGTCAATAGAACCCTAATTGGACAGCGTTGGGTTGCTGAATCTGAAAGTCTGTTGTGAAGTCCTTTATGTCACAGGTCACACCCTTATTTTGTGCTTGAGAGGGAGAAGCTGTTACATTGGTGTCTGTTTTTGTTTTTGTTGGGGGGGGGGGGCGAAAGCTTTCAGAGTACAGACCACAGCAAGGAGCAGGGTTTCTCTGGGAAGCCTAGTGACCTTCTCAGCATGGACACTTGGCTGTGGAGCCAGCATCAAGACTTGGGTGTTCACGTCCCTTTTCTTCAGGTGCAAAAGAGCCCAGGAACCTTCAGGAGACTTTCTGCAAGACTGACAGGGCTCTGCAAGCCCTAACCTCTGCGAGGTCCCATGGAATCTAGTCACTGTCAGACTCCCTAGTTGGGAAGCAAATGAAACTGTAGTGTCTGGGAACCGTGAGCAGCGAGGGCTGAACAGCTGTCAAAGGCAGCAGAGGAAGTAAAGGGTCAGAGCTTATTTCTGGTGGGGTACAGCTGTTGTCTCACTTGATCCACTTCTGTGAAGTTCTTTCCCTTTACAGTTACCACACTCATGTTTTGGGGGCCGCTCTGTGTGGGGGATTCATCATCTAAGTGCTGGCCATTGACAGAACAGCGGTATCTCAGCCAGCACAGATACAAATAACCGTTTCCTATTACAATGTGTCTTAAGATAGTAATTTGTGGAAAGTTACAAGCCCGATGTCCACCTCTTATGGGAATTTTCCTCTGTGTGAGTTTTACTTAGCAAACGATCTTGCAGGATTCTTCGCTTCTCTGCTCCACTCCCATTTTAGATGTTCAGAGCGTATTACCTAATTTAAGGAAATGTATGTATCGGTTATGTTTTCCTTTCCTTTCCTTTTTTGCTTTCTTGATACAGTAGCTCACATTTCTGGCTTTGTTGGAACTACTATGCAGCCCAGTCTGGTCTCAAACTTTGAGTAGTTCTCCCGTGCCAGTCGCCAGGGCTACAGTTATAGGTGTTAGCCATGGTGCCAGGCTGTGCATCAGTTATGAATAACTCATTGTACACGCATTTTAAGTGGACAGCTCAGATATGGATTCACAGCAGTGGTAATGCTGTGGGTGCTTTTGAGAGAACCCCCAACCTCAAGCTCTCCCAGCACCACCACCCCCCTGCTGCTGCAAGAAATTCTAGGACAGTCTGTGCAAACTGGTGGTTTCTAAGTTTATTTTTTTCCCAGACCCTAGTACAGATATTTCTACTACAGGGTCTTGAGAGGTTCTTAATGCTGGTGCCTTTTGTTACAGTATTCAAAAGGATCCTCATAGACTGTCTTAGATGCACTCTGTCATTAACTAACTCAATCTGTGATTATCTTCTGTTGTAAAACTTAGTGCAGTGTACTTGTAGGTTCTCATAGACTCAGCGTACTGTGAACGAAAACACACGGTGTTAAATTATGACTGCATGCTGAGGTGCCCTCCAATCTGGCAAGTCTGCCCTTTGCCTTCCTCTCTTCTTTCCTGTTAAGGGTTCTCTACTTTTTTCTCTTGCTCTGAGCATTTGAATTGAGAGATAGTAAGTCCCATGGCCTTCCTGGTTGCTAAGAAGCAGGAAGGGATTGACACAGGTCACCCCGGAGACCTGTGGTAAATAAAAAGAAGACGGATGATGGCTATAGAAACAGCTGTCATGCTTTGTTGATCTCCAGGCCTCACGTGCAAATGACAGGGACACCGGAGGCCTTGGCCTGCCACAGGGAACCTGAAGGTAGAGTGGATGGCTCCTGACCGGCTTGTGAGTGGAAAGTCCCGTGTTGGGGAGAAGGTGTATTAATTGATCATGAATTTCACACAGTAGACATCATGCAAATAACTGGGTTTTGTTTGTTTGGGGACAGGGTCTAGCGCACAGCTTTAATCTTGGCACTTGGCAAGATGAGACAGGCAGATCTCTGAGTTCAAGACCAGTCTTACGTACATACTGAGCTCTAGGCTACCCAACGCTTACGTGTCTATTAATTTTTAAGGAGGCAGTTTTACTTTTTTTCCTGTATATCTCAGCAAGAGGTAACACTCCCAAATACTTTTTCCTCTGCTTGCTTCCTGGCTGCTCTTTTGTATGTGTCCGTCTTTCTCAAACAGGACAATAACAAGAAAGTCAGATCCATTTTCCCCCTCCCTTCATTCACTACCTAAAACTCAGAATGAATGTAGAGAACTTGGAACTTTGGCATATGCTGTGATGTGGCGTAGTACTTTCTGTACGCATCTATGTAGTGCAGGGACACAGAGAAAGGGTGGTAAATTAATCTTCGTTGACTCTTCTTTTCCTCCTGATGTGACAGACATCTGTGCAAATACCGCTGTGTCTCACAGTTCAGCTCTGTTTTCCTCCTAGTCACCTAAGTGAAAGATACAGCACACATCAGAGAATGCAGTAGTATTCCAGCACATTTATTTACCTGCTGTTCACGGTGGAAATTGTTCTCGGTGAAAACTGCTGATGAGCTGATGAAACGTTTCTGCTTGGATGTCCCACTCTGACTGTGACATAAACTAACACGTGTAAACCAGTTTCTTACCATAGGACCATCATCAGTGACACAGATCTATTCTGTGATTTCCCCTTGGTTTCACCCATAACCCAAAGATTAACTCTGTTACAGATCATATTCTTCTACCAGAATATCATTTCCTTCAGCTTCCACTTTCCTCCGCAAAGACCTTCGTAACCTTTCCCTGGGTCCTCCGGGTGTCTCCTGCCTCACCAGCACCTAAAATAACACAATTAACTGTGTGTGTGTGAGAGAGAGAGGGAGGGGGGGGAGAGAGAGAGAGAGCGAGAGCTGCCTCCCAAGCTTCACTAAATAGGCATTCCAAACAGGGTAACAGGGGAGTTGATTAGACAGCTAAGGCTTTCTCATAAGCCAGCTTTCCCCAAATAAAGCTTGTGCCTTGAGGTGTGTGGAAATAAGTTTTCTTATTAAGTAAACCGGGAGAGTAGCCAGATGCAGTAGCTCACGCCTATAATCTCAGCACTCAGGGAGGCAGAGGCAGGTGGATCTCTGTGAGTTCGAGGTCAGCCTGGTCTACAAAGCCAGGACAGCAAAGGTTTCACAGAGAAACCCTGTCTCTAAAAAAACAAAAAAACAAAAAAAACAAAAAAACAAAAAACAGAACAAAAAAGTAACCTGAGAGGGGTGCTAAATTTCTTTGGTGCTACGTATCAGTGAATTAAGATTACTGCTAAATTCTGAAATAAAACCTCTAGTTAATCAAACACTTCTGGAATTTAGTAGGTCCTGCAACTTGTTTTTCTAATATTTGACTATTAAAAATCTAGATTGTTTTTTTTTTATTTTTTTATAAACTGAATGACATAGGGACGCTGTGCCCGTATCCTAAACGGTGGCTCTTCTAGTTTAGATGAGGGCATATCCTACCTGGCGAGCCACAGCCCTTATCTGTCAGTTATTTCAGTATTTATTTATATGGCCTGTTGGCTCCTGGAAGATCTGAATTTGTAAACTTTGACCCCGATGTCAGTAAGCCTGTTGCAGTAATATTTAACTTACCCAGGGAGGTCCACTTTAGTGCTACAATGAACCTTAAGGTGTTCCCAAATAAAATTTATCATTATCCTCTCAGAGCTGCTTCTCTCCAGTTTCCCTCTCAGTGAACAACAATTCTCATTTCGATGCATTTATCCTGAGATTCTTGGGAATGTCCTCAGCTACTCTTTGCCTCACATTCTGCTTCTGAGCAGCAGAGCCTGCGGTAGGTTTTCCTTCACCCAGAATCTGATGGCAGCTTTTTGCCTCCTCCCCATCCCATTCTGGTCTGAGCTGCCCTGGTTTCTCATCTGGAAAGCTGCCATCATTTTCTGCTTGGTCTTTCTGTTTCTACGCTCACCCATCATACATGGCATTCTTAACAAGACGATCAGAGTGTTCCCTTCCAAACCCAAGGCAGACTGAAGTCAGGAAATCTATATGGCACCGAGTTGCTGAGCATTGACTGTGAGGCCACTTAGAATCTGGGTCTGCCTAAGTCTGTGACATCTTTTCTCACCACATCGCCATTCTTTTGGTTCTCTACAGTATATTCCTGAGACATACCAAGCGTGTTCTTATGCCCAGATTATTGTATTTCACCTCCTTAGTCTAACTAAGTACCTGCCTCCTCACACAGTTGATTCATTTTTTAGCCCTGTATTCCATCCTTTCTACATGTCCTTGCACTCACTGTCCATAGAGCTGGTTATTTTTCTCAAAACATGAATCACCACTTGGTGGTTTAGATGTTGTTTATCTATCTATTTGCATTTGTGTCCTTTGGTTCCGTTCTCTACAACGGCAGTATAAGTCCCATGAGCACCAAGATTTCATCCATTCAGCAATGTCTCCCTGGTACCTTGTATGTTCTTGTGAATGTGCTGCCTTTTCAGCGTATTTGAGTGAAGACGAGAGAAGGTAATGCAGACTCCAGAGGCTTGTGTAACTGTAGGGAAATAGTGATGACACTGAGATGGTGACGAGGAGAGAAAATATAGTTGAAAGTGTCGAGAAGCGCAGGGCTTGTGGGAGAAGGCTAGTCCGAGCATGGACAGGGGGAGCACAGAGAAGCAGGTTCTCCTGTTTGCAGCCTGCCCACCCTTAGCCCCACCCACCAACGCCATGGATGTGGGCGGGGCGAGTGGTGAAGGTCTGTGAAGGAAGTGTCCCGGACAAGTTAGGAACATTTTGCACAGATGTTCAGAATTAGCAGTAGGAATGAGAGGGTGCTATTTGCAGTCAGATTCACCGTTCCCAGTCAATCCTCTACTCATTTTATGTTGGATTTCTATAACAATTTCACTAAATTTATGACCCTCCAACTGCATTGTACTTGTTTTCTTTCTTCCTGTCTTTCCCCTCGCTTCTCCTTCCCTTTCTCTTCCTTTTCCCCTCCCTTTCTTTCCTTCCCTTTTTGTTTTA